CTTCGCTATCTGTAGACTCAGTGCGTAATTAGTGCAAACCTTTCATATATCTAATCTTATGTAATAGCACTGTTTATCTTGAATATAAATCTTGATTATACATTATAGCAAATTTTTATTTACATGTATGATTAAGCAAAATTATACACTTATCCAATTTTTCAAGTGAAAACTGAACCTTGAGTCATTTGCACAAAGTTTACATCGATAAAAGTTATACATTATATTCTAGTGTATGATTGATAACATTTTTAAAGGAACATAAACTTACTTTGCACCGTTCTTCTACGTAAACAATATAACAAAAAAAAAACTAAATATTTTAGAATTCGGAGTCCGTGGACTTCATTTGTAAACGACACATAATATGTCATATAATATTAAAGTAGGTATTTTAATGTTTGTACAAGAAATTACTGATCATTGCCTTCAAAAGCCAATAAACAAATGCGTGGTTATATTTTTTACGGCAAGTGGCAAAAGAAAGTAGATATAAGATGAGTTGTAGTATGTTTTGTTAAGGAAATAATAAAACGAGTGAAAGTTGCAAGACTTCTCCCCTTTACATTCGAGAAAGTATACGAAAAGGATTTTAAATCACCATTTCAACCATTTTTTATGGAATTTTAATGTTATACAATGCACTACATAAGTGTATGTTAAATAGCACAATTTAGAAAAAGAATATTAACCTTATCAGTGCCTTTTCCCCATTGAGAAATATTAAATTTCTCATAAGCCTCGACGACATGCTGATTCCTTTGTTGCAAACTCATTTCGAACCGCGATAAAAAAATTAAACTTTTGAAAAATCGAATAAACACTTTCCCGCCAATAAATTACATTCGAAGCCCGAACCGGTTTGTCGAGAATGCGGCAGCGTGCGCGCCGCCGTATTGAATACTGGTGTTACAACGGTTGGTCGATTCATAATATATCACTAGTAACAAAAAAGCAGCACGAAACTACTAGCCGATATGCTAGATATGATAATAGTTATGATAACTTCATACTTATGAACAAATGTATCAGAGACGTAGATAAGAGACGAAGGGTCATGTCAGTTTTAGACGGGGTAGGCATATATATAATTCCGAAAGTTATTAGAAGTTATTATCTGAGTTAATAAGAGACAATTGAACGCACCGCCTCGCATTTGCTCATAGCCTTAATGAATTACTGTCAGCCGTGTACAGTCAAGAGCATAATATCAAGCTTAATACTTTGCACCGTTCTAATCGTTAGAGGAATAAAGTTGAATTTAAATGTATGTGTCAAAATTGACGTGCTCTTAAATTCAATTCAAAATAAATAGTTTTTCTAAATTTGGTCAAGTGTAAACATAAATAAAACTCGGTGAATGGAAAACCCTAGATGGCCATAGGCAAGTCTGGGATCGTTTAGAAGAGTGGCGTGTCTTTGTTACTTTGTTTTATTAATATCACTAGCTGCAGTAGGTAATATCGTAAATGTTTCTTTAGTCAATTTTGATTGGATTCCCTATCTTCTTCACCGTTTTTTTGTAGGAGTGGTATTGTAATTAGTATGAGAATTAACTTATATATATATATAACTTATACTATATTAAATTCATACGTATCATATTATGTTTGATTCTGCATTCTCAGTACTAACCATTCAAAATTGTATTTAAATTTAAACTAACTAAACTTAAACTCTCAGTTTATATAGATTGTAAAGTCCACTATAAGAAGACTAACTTTGGAGTAACTATACAAAAAAGCACACAAAAACATATAACATTAGTTTCTTTAGGTGAATATAACCTAAAATACTGCTTGACTGAGAATCATTTAACCGGTCTACGTCATTCCTAGAATACCTATACCACAAAGATTAATTTTATAACTAGTTTTAATTAAGAAAAGATAGACGTGTAATTGTAACGCAGTTAGGAAGTACATTTTTAACTGAGGAATGTCTAACCTGTCTTTGTACTTACGTGCACAATGGACAATTTAGAAAACTGGAATCAGCATACCAGCAATTAATGTAGAACTTATTAATATAATATTCATGGAGACAACTTGGAGAGAAACATAGTTAGGTTTTTTCGCTATTTTAACTTTTGTTTCTCAACTATTAACTATTATATTGTATCCAATTGCTTTATAATAGGTACTAACTTTTATTCAATAAAAACAGATATCAAAAAAAAGGATCATACATTTACAACCTAATCAGCATTAGGGGTCGTCAATTTCGTCAAAAAACGGAATTTACAAGAGATATCGTCAAAAATTTACTAACTTACTAGAGAATCCGGCCCTGGGGGTCTACTGCCGTTCTCTGTCCGACATCCGTCCAAAACAATTACTGTCAAATAAGTATTACTCGATGAAATAAAAAAACAATGTCAAGTACGAAGCTTCGTTCGTATCATGTGTCTTTTAATTTGGTCGAGTATTACTTATTTGACAATTTGTTCGGGACGGATGTCGGACAGAGGACGAGAGTGCAGGGTCTGGCTTAAAAATTTCCATTATACTGGCGCTTTGCCTCGCAGGAAAGCAATGAACACCTGCTAATCCAACCATAACCCAGAGCGATATCGCAGTCCCTATCTCTGAATTGACGAACCAATTATATTTATACAATCTGTATGTCATTAAATTATAGATCTTGATGGAGATGCATATTGTCTTGCTTCTCCCTATTAGTATTATGGTGGCTTCATTCAGGGTCTATGTAGCTCTTAATCACTTGGCCAACAAGTTCAAAGTACTGAAGGATTTTCCTGGTTCGACAGTTTGATATTTTAGGCTGATTACACACGGCACTGTAACAACAGCGATACCGCTGCCGCTCCGCCGCCTTTATGGTCAACTTTGCGTTTGTATATGTATATACTTTCACACACGCACCGAGGCGGCGCGGCGGCGTCAATAGATACCGCGGCAGCGGCGGCGAGTGCTGCCGCAATTCTCTACTAGTGTACTATTTTAGTTGGTCACGCGACACGGGCTGCAATTGTGCCGTTGGTACTCTTCCGGTGCCGCGGCGGCAAAAAAGCGCCACCATGTGCAATCAGCCTTTGTTGTGACCTATGTCTACCCCCAGTATGGAGCTTCGTACGTCCATCATGGGACAGCATTTGGTAAGAAGATGCAGAGGAGTTTCAACCGCGTCATGGCAGAAATTACAGACTCCCTCTGCCTAAGATTGGCAGCAGTCTGATGCGATTTCTGCACAGTACCAGTTTCTCGACAGTGCTTAACACTGTATGCAGTTCTCAGGACTTTTGAATGCTTAAGACCATTGGTCTGAAGCCAGATGTCCTGTGTGCTCTGGTTCAGCAGAGTGAACTTTGCAACTCCTACCTAAATTTCATATAAGATGTAGAATCCTACTGAGATCTCAAAAGCGTACATTCCCCATTAATCATTATATACCTTTTTATATATTATGTGAATAACAGTCATTGATAGAATGAGCTTGAGACAAGCTGCATCTCAAAATGTGAAGTGCTACACTGAACATATGTAGCCCTGAAAAATTTGCCTAATGCCAATTACGATGACGAGAAACTATGCATACACTGAATGTGTTAAAAAGGATAAGTAGGGTAGACTACTTATGATAGATACCATCAAAGCCCAAACTTCTACCTCCAAAGAGGAATGGAATAGAGCTGTTCTCCAGCAGACTTCATATCTGCAAATGAGAGGGAAAGAAGCTTAAGTGCCAAATATTATTTTTCCTACAGAGCATTTTAAAGAGAATGATCTCAATAATAAATTTAAAATCAATCTTAAGGTCAAATACCACTCAATTAAATAAAATCAAATACTCACTACAGACATATGGCATTACAGATATTATTTTGTTAATTTAAAATAACGAAATAGTATGGTTGTTGAAACATGACTCATGTGTGACCCTTTGGAAGATCTTTACAAAGAGTTTTACAAAGTCAAGCTAGCTAAGATTGGTGCTCTTATTTAAAATAAGAGCACCTGTAATTATAAAGTTTCTACAAGCTCCAAACTGATTTTAGCACCAAAATGCAGATTATGGCCTAGCTTTAGAGAAAGTAAAAGAGAATGGCGTGGTCCACATAATTTTATTAAAGGTAGACAATGAAAGGCAACAGGCTGTGTCAAAAAATTATATAAAAAGGTACAAACAGTATTAAACACTCCCTGCTAATACTAAACGGTCTTATAAACAGTCCACTTATCCCAAGAGATCCTATATTCCAATGATGAAAAAAAAGTAAATCACATGAAGTTCGAGTCCTGATGAGGATACACCATGACCATATTCTCTCGCTTTGAGAATTTTGATGGGATTGATAACGGAATGAACCAACGTAAGAATAGTGGATGGAAAAGGAATTCAGGAATGATCAAAATTTTTAAAGTTAGGGGCCAGGAACCTGTAAGGAGGGTGATAAAAAGGAAGGGTGAATGAATGAGGAAGGAAGGATGGTGGTGAAGGAGGTTCGACATCATCACTAAATTATAATTCAATTAATATCTTTTATGGAAAATATCATGTGTCATATACTGTGTTTATTATTCACTAAAAACAAATATTTAACACTGATAACATTATGAGTAATTGAGACTATTATAAATTCCATTTCACTGATAAAAGATCCACAGATAGCAATAATGACAGTCATAAGTTTTATTTTACTTTATTATATAACCATATTATTATTTATTATATAACAATTATTTATTTTTTATTTGATTATAGACGAGATAACATAGGTAATAAAATATGAAATATTTATAAAACGGCGACCGGTAGTGTTTCACAGCGTAAATGCATTTATTTATTTTATTATCAAGAATTCAATTTAAAAATGCTTTTTAATTTTTGTGAGATAGAACAGAAGTAATCAGCATTTTCTAGCCGAATTCAATTTATACATATACTATAACAGAAAACATTATAGTTTTTAAACTTTACGATGAGAATAAAACATCATTATCATGTTTTTCATAAGAAATTTATAAGAAGTAACTCACGGTTTTCAGTTTTTTCTTCGCTCCGGAGGGTCCATCCATGTTTAATAAAGAAACACTTTTTACAAAATTACTTTTTTAATTATTATGGATTTATTTAAACTTTATTGTTGTGTTTAAAATACCGAAAAAAATTATTTTTCTAAAGCACTCGGTGAGCGCTAGCGAAAAGAAAGAGGTGAGGGGGGTTTTGACAAGTTGGCTGTTTTGACATTAAGCATTTCGTTCAGAAATGTAAATTTGAGAGAGTTGTGAAGAGCTCTCTTTGTTCCTTCGACTATGAAAACTTTTTTCCCATCATCTAAGCTTTGTTCCTTCGACTATGGAAACTAAAGGTCATATTACGTTGACATATATAAATCAAACGTTATATGTATATGATGCATTTCGACGTCGAAAACATAAACATGTTATTGTCTTTGTTTAACTATTTCGTGCCGTTTTAAGCCAAAAGAGAAAGCATTACATTGGTCTGTGTCAAACACGGGAATCGAAAGTACGTAACGTCATCTTAAATGCTAACCGTGTCCATTTCGCAGTACATGAGGTACATGATACAATTGTCAAAGGGAAGTACATCAAATGTCAAAACAGAAGCCAAATAACCCAAAAAAAAAAAAAATGTTTTTCCAAATGTACTATTGAATTATTCGCATGTATTTTAATTAAATTGGACAAAAATATTGACAGCGAGAATAATTAGGTATTAATAAAAATGCGACGCTGCAGCATTGAGAGATGTGGCTTTAGAAAAAGTCCAAATCAGTCGAAAGTTACATTGCACAGGTACGTATTATTTTTTTGTATATAATCACACAATAGCCCAAATGTTTCATGTAATTAGACTTATTTAAGTAGTTTATTTATAAATCTTGCCAAATTTTGCTGTTGTTTACTTTAGATTGCCCGTTTGTATACTTTGATGATTGTTGTTAACGATTATTTTGAGATAGTGTTGATCTTGTAAGCATACACACAAGAAAGCCAGTAACGTGAATACTAGAATCCGCAGAAGCCTGAATGGACTTGTACTTGACAGTTAGTTAAAAGACGTTATGTAAATATGTACTAAAATGTAGGTTAAAGGCGTACCTCTTAAAGTAATTTTTATATTTTATTTAGTAAGTAAAATTAATACTATGTAATGTTATATACCAGTAAAGCAGGTATAATTAAGTAAGAATACGCATGTCGCCATCAAACTGCACAGCAGTTTGGTGGCTTTTACTAAATTAGTAAATAAATCTTGAAAATTAATTTTAAAAAAAGTTTAAAAATGTGTTGACATTTATAATAATATAACACTCGAGATTATATTATATTGACTTGAGTTTGTTTAGGCATACTTTGGTTACAGTAAACTGAAGAACCAAAAAAATACAGTTTCAACATTCCACTTCAACAAGCCGTACATTTGCATATCGATAGTAACTTATCGATACATTATGGTACAACACTAAAGAAATCCGCCATTTGTTTCAAATGTTGGTTATATGCACGTTAATTATGTAGTTAGGGTAGCTCCTTTCTTTTATTTTTTTCCCATCCTCTAAGCTTTGTTCACATACACAAATTAGAAAGATATCATATTATCTAATATTCTGACAGAACGCACGCGAAACCAAATACTGACTATATAACAATAGCATGTTCCAGACCGATACGATAGGTCGAAAAAAAAATGCCGAATAGGTTTATGCTAGAGAAGGCATTACTCTTCTTTTATTTTCCATCCTCTAAGCATTACCCTTTGCGACACAGATGTTCATTGTCAGATTAATTTTTTTTTGTGTCGTCATGCTTAATCGGCTTAGACTATGGAAACTTTTTTCCATCCTCTAAGTTAATCGGGGTTAATTCAATGCATTCTTGCCATATTCTTGCACTTTTTTTATAATTCGCATGCTGGGGTGCTATGTAGGAGGTGGTCACTATTAGTAACCACACCGTGAAGAATGTAGCGATGAGCGTTGAATGAACGAACTAGTCGAATCGAATCGACGGTTGACTTCCGTTTAACGCTTCGACTGTTTATCGTTTTTCGATTAACTGGTTACATTTGTCAACTATAGTCTATAGTAGAATGTTAGAATTATAGTAGAATACGTCGACGCGTTTATTAACGCGATTCGATGGTCAAACTAATTTGAACTTTAAATTCAGCAACGGTAATTTGATATTTAAATATGTGCGATAAAGTAGTATAGGCTATTTAGTAATGCAAGATGCAAAAAAAAAGGACGACGGTAGTTAATTCGTGAGACAGTAAAGTCCGTTTTTAGTGAAGATGGAAAAATTTGACAATTCATTGCGCAAAAGTGTTGCCCGTTCTCAAGTAGCTAGTGATTGCAGTCGATAAATATGAATGAATGAATGAATGAATTATCGACTGAATATTGGTTACGCTTACGCAATGATTGTCCGAACTTGTTAAATTTGAATCATCATCGGCCCATTATTCGTGCCACTGCTGGGCTACTATTGCTTTTATTATCGTGTTAAGTTTTTTTTTGTTACTGTATTTGTTGCGTATTGCATCGCAATATGGACAACCCAGGACCATCCACTTCTTCGGGCATTTTATCGCCTCGAAAGAAAAGACAACGTATTGCTCTCAGTACTACTGAGAAGATGATGACGGAGAATGTATATAAATACATTGTTCAGGAAGAAAACAAGGGTTGCGATCCAAATCTTTTAGAAGCTGCCAGTAAAACAGAATGTGCTAAAAAAACGGCTGACATTCTGGGCATTTCAAAATCAACTGTTTATACAGTTCTAAAAGAAAAATGCGAAAATATGAACTTTTAGCCCCCTAAACCGAAAGGCAGGCGAAAAAGCTACATAGAAAAATTCGATGAATTCCATTTGGAGGCCATAAGACGCAAGGTTCATCAATTCTTTTTCCGAAACGAAGGTCCAACTATTGCCAAGGTAAGCATTCGCAAATCAATATTCACTTTGGTAGATTATTTAAATAACTTGCTGTAGTTGTTTAGGTGCAGAAATCTTGGCGTACGACGTGTTTGTCAATTAAAGCTATCATTACAGTCAAATTGCGTAATTCGCACCAGAGATGGGCCAGCACTCGGGTTTTTCCCGACACTTCGTTAACGTCGAACTTAAAAATCAGGTTTATAGCCCATGAACATCTGAAAACGAGGACGGTAATTATTTGTAACTAATATTTACCGTAAATCGAATTTGATCAAATTTTATGATATTATGCATCTATTTGACGATATTGTCATTCAGTCCATTTAGAAAAGACCATGAAACCGTAGTGTCGGCTCGATGCAAGCAGGTGCCTAGATAAGAAAACGGAATAGAGAGTGCAACCGCGCGGCGGGACAATAGCTTTTGTTTTTTAGTTTAGGAGTGGTATTAGCAAAAAACCAATGCTTTTGTTCTTATCTGCGCACGTGCTGGCACTGCGCCGCTCCGGCGTGATGGTTTCGTGGTCTTTTTAGATTAGTGTGGTCGTCTATACCTGTATTAATTGATAAAAAGTAATACTACTTGAACTAGATTTTCATGACTAACAATTTCTACTTCCAGGTCCAGGAAGCCATCAATGATGATGATACGCTACCTAACTTATCGAGAAGTACAACTTACAAAATACTCAAACATTTAAATTTTAAATATGCGACAAGAAACAGGAAAAGTTGCTTAATTGACCGTCAAGATATAATTTTGTGGCGCAAAAAATATTTATTAGCGATCTAGCAATATCGACGGGAGGGAAAGGTTATATATTACCAAGATGAGACTTGGGTTAATGAAGGTAATATACCTACCTACTTAATCAATGACTCAAGTAACTACTACAAAACGCAAAAAGAATACTAAAATCTATAAGTTACTCCTGTTTTTTTGCAGGTCACACAATGAAAAAAGTCTGGCAAGATACACAAATCCAATCACGCAAAGATGCATTTTTAGAAGGGTATTCTACGGGATTAACGGACTCTAGAGGAAAGGGGAGGAGATTAATAATTAGCCACATTGGCAATGAAGAGGGTTTCGTGGAAGGATGTCAGCTGATTATCGAAGCAAAAAAAAAACAAAGCCGATTATCACGAGGAAATGGATGCCGCACATTTTGAAGAGTGGTTGAAGCTGGTGCTGCCAAAGTTGAAAAACGGTTCAGTCTTGGTATTGGACAACGCGCCTTACCACTCACGACGACTGGAGCAGACACCTACTACTACTTTTTTGAAACGTACTTCCTTTTGTTTTGGTAATAAAATAACAGTTCGTGATGAGTTGGGTGCGATTTCACGATTGTTTACGTATGTACTTGTTGTGATAATTACAAATTATTAATTTAGCTCGTTATTATTTTAATTTATTGTTTAATTATTGTATAAATGTACAAACATAGTTTTTAAACTATATGTATAGAAATAATATAGGTGTAGGAATAGTTTATTGAACTTTATGCAATTATGTCGTCGGGACGAAGTCAATTGTAGTATCACTTTGAAAAAGATGCTAGCAGTGGAAAAGCATTGTGTAATATATGCAAAGAAAAATTGTCTTATAAATCTACTACGGCAAATTTTAAAAGCCATTTGCGAAGGAAGCATGTGTCGGTTTTTGCATCTCTGTCGTCGATTTTGGTACAGGAGCAATCAATTCACAATTTGTAGTTTTCATTTCACAAATATAATTTTATTTTACTTAAACTTATACTTAAGTAAAATAAAATTATATTTGTAAAATGAAAACTACAATAGTACATATTCTCAAAATCTACTTAGTTGATCAACCGTCTTATTATCGTTGCGTTAAACGTTAATAAGTACAACGAAATTCGACCTAAGTTGAATGATCGACTAGTTGACGAATTTAACCAGTTGAAGGATTTAACTAGTCGACGGATTTAACTAGTTAATCGACTAGTCGACTGTCGACGGTAAACGGTTACGTTTCGTTGATGGAAAATGCGTCAACGACTCATGCCTAGAAGAATGTGACAAAAATTAATTTTAAAATATGGCTTTATTGTCAATATTGAACTTTATGCACTGAATTTATGCTAAAAGACATGAGTTTCGAGCTTCGGAGGAGTAAAAGTGTTTTGAATAATAAATAAATATAATTTTCATAAAAATTTAATTTTTCTGATCCTCGAAACATGATTTTCCCTCACGATAGCAATGAGGGACTGCATATTTTGCAGCTTCAAATATAGGACTATTCAGGTGGTCTATGCAGATCTTTTTTAGATTTCAGAGTGCGAGAAGTACACACACAAGATCATCGGACTTTAGACACATCAACGGCATAGAGTGAAATTTCAGTGTATAGCTGTAACAGTGACAAAACCTATGTTGAAAAGAAAAATGTTTACCATAGTATAATCAGTTAGTCTTCTTCTTCTTCTTTTTGCTTATGCCGTACCCTTGTTGAATTTCGCTAGTATCGAGTTTTCTGCTTAATAATTTTTGAAACCTTTGACAGGTTCTGTCGATAATTTCGAAAAATAAAGTCTTGTTATCCAAATCAGCTGGATACACGGCACAATTTTATTGGAAACCACTTCTGATAGCCGGCTCGAACATTGATAATGATAACAAAGTCGGTAAGTACTTGCTATCGCTTTAATTTCAAGGTTAAAAACGAACTAGTTTTTGGGTAAGTATTACATATTAATCTGTTTATCTCGTAACCGGCTCACTAAGGTGTTCACTGTAGTTTAGATACCTTTTTTAACATATTTTTTTCACACATCGCTTTTATTTATTGAAACAATGCTCTAAGCGATCACAACACCATTTCGGGAATAGTTTCCTGTACCAGTCACAGGGTCGTATTCGAGAACTCTACTCAATGCTCAAGTCAGGACTTGAGTATGATTTGAAGCACTGGAAATACGACCCTAATGACAAGGACTTGAGTATGATTTCTAGTGCTTTAAATCATACTCAAGTCCTGACTTGAGCATTGAGAGTACAACCCACAATCTTATTTGTTCTCTGCCACAATCACAAAGTATTGTCCAATACTTACTCTGTGGTATCCTCTATACTTTACTATCTATACTCTTTGGTATCACGAATTCACTATGGGCCTTTTGGAGGGAAAAGTGTCGTTTTTATTTTGACTTTCAATTATCTTGTGAAATCTAATTTAAAGTGGAATAGGATAGTGCTATTGTGCCTTAATCGAAGATTAAAACGCGTAATTATACGAATCTCGAACTAAAATACCCGTATCTGCCCGTTCTAAGGAATTCCGAGCCAATCCAAGCACGCCGCACTATGGGAACCTTGACTCCTTTTCATATCATAAATCTATAACTTCCGTGTTTTTGATGATATCTACCTGATTTTTTTTCTGGGTATAGGTACCTAAATAGATATTCTCTTAAATAATATACACTTTATAAGTCAAATTTTATTTATTATACTTATAAAAAATTAAGGAATAAAAAAGTATTAATTTCTTAGATTTAACCATGCATGTTCTTATAAATTTATAGATTAATAAGATGAAGTACCTACTTTAAATATCAAGAATACATAAAAACATAGCTTAGTAGTCACTCAGGAGCTTGCTTCATCAAGAAGTTCCAAATATTTATTGTTGTAAGGTTTTCTCAAGCTTGTAATGTATGGATCAGAGGTATACAAAAGTGTGTGTATAACGTCTTCGTTGGTGGCTGCCCTCGAACATTTTCTTGAATGATGAAGTCTGAACTGCTTGTAGTCTTTGTTTCGTGACTCTTGAGCGTCTTCAGAGAGTTGTCCAAGAGGCAAGACAGAAAAATGACGTATGACACTTTCACCATGAATCAACACTTTGTGCACTGATGACGGCATGTAATACCATTTATATTTATTAACATACAGCTGCGCTGTATCGAATGCATACTGTCCAAATTTCGTGGCATCAATACCTCTACCACTTGACATGACCTGAAGTATAACATAAAACCGTTTTATTAATTCCTCATTTATTCCAGTGATTTCTGATGAACAAATGCAATGGTAGTTTTGGAAAAATCTTCTGGCTGTATTACCGTCATTAGTGTTGCCACTTACTTGCTTAGGTTTATCTATATTCAATCCAACTTCTTCTCTGAACCTTCTTTGTACGTAAGCTTTCTTTTGCTTTTTAAAATCTTTATTCTCTGTTGTTGCGGCAGACCGTGTTTCAAAACCTAGATTGTAAGATAAATGTAAAATAAGTTCCATAAATCTGATCCAACAATGCAAAGTTGAAAGCCCATATTGATAAGAAGGTTCATCCACTGGTTTGTTTCGCACTCTTTCTAAATTTTTCATTTCTGTGGGTCTTGCATTGCAAATAATGCACACAGTACTTGAGGAAGTTTCTGACAAAACTTGAGCCACTTTCCCATCAATCATAGTTAAAAACAACGTGTGTTTTATTTCAATACCTTCTCCATTGTGATTAATTAGGGAAGGATTCAGGGCTAAAATTTGAGCATTAATTTCGCTGACTACCAGTGTTGTTTTCTCAGCTGTTTCTTTTGAAAATTCTATCAAAATTGGTCGGCAAAATCTCACTGACGAAGGAACAGGATTAGTCCACAATACTTCATTAGTATTGGTATCAATAAGTCGCAATGGCACTAAAGATTATATAAATAAATTAGAGTCTGAAATTAGATTACTCTCTTCAGACAGGGGTTGTTTGTATTCGCTTTGTCCACTTGATCCATCACAGCCCCATTTGGAATATAGCATTAAGTGGGTTGAACCCACTTTATAAACATCATTAATTTTTAGAAGTCTGGCTGGAGGGTGATCTAAAAGATCTTGTAGTTTTATTTGTGCTTTTATGTTAGTAATTTCAACGCTAGATTCTGGTGGATAGCACATTCGCTTAGCTTGACGAATCGACTTGTAAGAAGGAAACAATAAGCAATTTTTTGTAATTAAACAATTTCTCATATTGTCATACTGTGCCTTGTTCAGATTTAATTTTATAAAAATGCTGAGTGCTTCGTCTTTTGAATACGCGGTTATATGTGCTGGTTCATTAAGAAGACTATTGCGTATTTAACTTTTTTTTTTCTGACGGCAATGTTCGTAAAACTTCAACAATTAAGGCTTCTTCTACTTCGCCACGAGACCTTAAGCCCTGTATGTACGAGTTCAATATGAAATCAAGTCCACATGAATCAAGCAATTCCTTGTTTTTACGTTTTTTTGTGCTCACTGAACTATCTTCGTACGTTTTAGAAGGTCTTCCTCTTTTTTCTTCTGATGTAGAAGGTTCAGGTTGGCATGTAGGTTCTTCTAGTTTCACCGTGAATATGCCATCCAACCAATTGCTGTTTTTACTTAAAAACAGATCTTTCTTTCGACCCGCTTTAGAAAAGCGTTGACGAAACTGGTTTATGAAGGATTTTTGAATATTTGCTATAATTTTTGCTATGTTTTCATCTGAAGATTCTGTGAAATTGCTTCGTATATAATGTGTAATAGAAACAACATAATTCGAATCACTTTCAATCAACACGAGACTTAAGTCGCGTCTGGTGCACGAGAATTCACTCATTGCGGAAAGTTACTGCGTAACAAACTTTTGCTAATAACAAAAACTAATGAAGAACTAATGTTTAATGAAAAAGTCACTAAATAATGACAGAAGACGAGTGCAAAATTACTTGATAAAAACTAATTTATCATAATGCGGTTATGCGGTTTTTAATGGTACTGTTTGTCAATTGGAATCAAATTCTGTGAGAAATATGTGATAAAAATACCGCAAAATATAAAATATAATCTAACAATAGTGTCATATGCGTTTTTTGACGGTACGGGCAGAAAATTCCGAAAAATAGAAACTCTTAATGTACGAAATTAAAATTAATAAAAAGTGTACTGCATATTTCATGAAATTAAAACATGTTCCGCACTGAAACCACAAGACATTTTTGTTTGCCATCTAAGTATATCATATTTTTTACAAAATAACATAAAAAATAGAACTTCGGCAAGCTTCGGCAACTGTCATATCTCAAAGTCAAAGATTAGAAAAAGAAAATATTACATATGATGTTTATATATTTTTGTTTAAATAATGTTGTGCTAAATTACACATTTTTTATATCTGAAAGTAAAGTACACATTCCAAGCTTTCTAAAATGGGGTAAAACTTATATGATTTCTATTGATTTCATACTAGAAAATCATATCGAAGAAATAAAAGTTACAAAGTTGTTTTTGTATTTGTTTTATTCCTTATCTTCAAATGATTTCAACTGTGCCATACGAATGGTTAGAGATTTGAATCTTATTTATAATAATAGAGTAACTATTCAGCTACAATTTAAGGTATAATACATGCATCCCCGCATGCTTTTGTAAAAAGCATTTATGAGATGGCTCTCTTAAGAGGGTTCCCATAGTGCGCCGCCTCAAATTGCCTATCCCCTTTGTGGCGGCCATATTTACAGAAACATAATTAAACGAAGACATGGCTCAAAAGACTTGTATCCAAGCCAAAATTATTTATAAAAATCTTTGATATCACGTTTGTCAAATCACAAAATAATAGATATGTGATAGATATTATATTAGCGTAGTTCACAGTAGTTGTGCTAAACGTCTTGTGTTTTATAGTTTGTTGATATTGCTATACAAAACGCGTAATTTGCGTATTACATCGTGATTTTTGAGAAATCTCTGTTTTATAAACCGTTTTTATACTTTCACAAAGGGTTAATTTCAATCAGCAAAGATTGCGGTCAGCGAGTTAGAATCCAAAATGCCTGTGGTTACATCGACCACTGCAGAAGAAAATGATGACCAGAAGATGTGGAGTGCTCTTAAGCGGTACATAATACGAGAAAGGCAGAGAAAAAAAGAAGGTTAGAAGTAGAGTATTGATTGTCTTTTGCCTGAAACTTAAAACGTCTATCACTTCTAATGGTTGAATATATTTTTCTAATTTCTGGGTGGAATTTTTCTGAGCCGCACGGAATACACCCTTTGATTTCAAAATTCGTATACTAGGTTTCATAATTGCAGTTTATGTATTGATAGAGTACAATAGTAGCAATGCTGCATTATGACTTAAAATTTGTAAGTACAATAGTTACATGTTCTACTATTTACTCTTATAGAATATGAAGCAGAAGTTGCAGAGGAAAGACTACGTGAGGAACGTGAAGCCAGAGAAAGACAGGATGTTATGACACTTGGTTTGTATTGGGTTTTTATTACTATATTTACATCTTAACCTTTTTTTTGTTTTATTCACAGGTTAGTTAAGCTCAAGGCTATTTTACCCATAACTGAAAGTTAATTACTAAAAATGAATAGTGTAAAAGGCGTAGAATCGAGATTCAGCTCCAAAGTAAAAATGGAATGATATTCTTCCATCTTTTTGACCAAGATGTACAAGATCGCAATTGATTACTCAGATGAAAACCTGAATACGGGCTATGTTAACCAGCACAATTGGCATTAGCAACTTTTTTCACATACAATTTTTATTTCTGAAATAGAATCTACATCAAACATATAATATAACACATCTATTTTGAAATTTTTTTATACATATAATTTTTTTGTGTTTTTTTTTTATACAAATAATTTAAACCAACTCATTTCAAAAATCCTTAAGCGCCTGTCAACAGTCTGATGTCACAACTAGTAATGAGAAAAACTGAAGCTAAACTTATTTGAATTTTTTGTTTTCAACTATTATGTGCAATATGTAATTTAATTATCTAATAATTTTTATTAGGAAATACTGTTTATCAAAAAGTAGATATGAGAGATATTTATATTTAAAAAATATTTAACAATAACTTGCGAGTAATGAGTAAAAAATCTTTAATAGCATGCACCCAAAACCATAAAACTAAAAAAATCTTGACAAATTAATTCATCAAACATTACCCATTTTTATTTAGGAAGTACATCATACAAATGACAACTTCCTGGGCAGCCCTTTCAAAACTCAATTGTACTATTTTTTTTTCTCAACAATACATATAGCTTGTGGGAAAAATGTGCTGTTGTCAATTACATCAATTCTGTCAAGTAGATCTACATCTGTTGACCTTAGTTGCCCAAACATGAAGCATTGTGGAGAATTATGTGTTAATCTTAAATACTGTGAGTAAATTTAGTATAATAAAATAAATTTAGTAGAATTTTTAACTAAAATGTTAGGGACATTGTATGTCTAGAACACGTGTTGGTTTAAAACATTGTCCAACTTCTTGTTAAGACAGATGATTTTGTCTTGAAGCAGATGAAAGAACTTACCTTCTTAGCCAATATTGCGTCTTAATGTGCACAGAACGGTTACTATTGGGCCAGCATATTCCCTAACCTGACAAGATAAAAAAAAATTGAGCCAAGAAAATCCTTCGTATAGTGCGGGATTGAAAAGGTCAATACTTGTAATTTTGCACCACCATTTTTAAAGGCCAAAGTTGTCAACATTTATACTTATTAGTAAATATTGAGTTATACACATATATTTGTTTTTCCACACAAACCAACGTGTCGGGCCCTTTATAGGTCATGGCTGAATATTTGTAAATTATGCATGAACTTAGCAAATACAATATCAAATATGTTTTTTTTACTAGAGGAAACAAAAGAACAGATTGAACAGTTGGAACAGAAGCTAAAACAGCTGGAGAAGGAAAAACAGCAGCTGTTCATGCAGCTCAAGAAAGTCCTCAATGAAGATGAAATAAGGAAGAGACAGCAACAAAAAGATGCAAAGTGAGTAACATTTTTTGCTCTGACAATATGAAGAAAATTATTTCAATTCACTGTATTTCGGAATTTTAAGAAAGTAATTGTTTCTACTAACAAGGCAACCTTTGATGGCAAACTTCAATTATATTTTCTTGTGTTAATTCTCAGTGAGATGCAAGGCATGAAGATGGCTATGAGTAGCATGCAAATGCCCATGATGCAGATGGGCATGGGCGTTGGCGGAGCTTCCGGCGAGCCTCCTCCCGCTCCCTCCGCCTCATCAACTTCGCGGCCTCCACCTCTCACTAGTCATATGCTTAACAAGGTATATTCTTTAAAATAAATATATGCTTACAGTTGATGCTGTTTTGTAAAACAATTCTAGTGAGTGACCCTGGTTTGGCACAGATGCAGGATCGAGTTTTTTTGTGTTCGATCTTTGTATTAATAATTGTACGAGTGAGTTTAGAGTCTTCAGACGTTTTTGTCAAGAACTTGAAGTTAAACAAAATTATAGTAGCTAAGTACACTCAATGAAGTGAAGTTTTCATACTTACCATTTTTATTTCATTTTCATTCTTCAGCCATTATTGTCCCACTGCAGGGCAAAGTCGTCTCTTCCCTTTTTCCACTGATTGCGATTTAACGCCGCTACAGGCCATGATCTCGTATACGCGTCCAATTCGTCACGCCATCTCGTTCTGTTTCTTCCACGGCTTCGTCTTGTATTTGGTGGGATCCACTCCATGGTGGCCTTTGTCTACAGCTCGTTTGACATACGGCAGACGTGTCCGGCCCAGTTCCATTTTAAGCTCGCGAGTTTATGACCAACGTCAATGGGTTGTGTTTTGGAGCGCAGTATGCTGTTTCGCACGCGATGGGACAGTTTTCTTCCATGGTACATGCCTCGCTGACAAACCTCTAATGTAAACCCCTAATACTTGCCATGCTTGACAGATATTTAAATTATTATACTCTAGTTGCTAGCAACCACTGGAATATTTTCGTAACTGGATCCCACATTGCAGTCAATAAATACTATTTAAAAGAATCGGGCCAATAAAGATTTTGTATCATAAAATGTTTCATTTTTCAAAAAGTTACTTTTTTTTTTTATTAAATAATATTTTGTTTATTTTACCAATGAACTCCCGTAAAAATTAGCAGCCTACCTAATATCCTATAATAGCTTTTCATCTTTTATTATAAGGATTATGTAAAATTATATAATACTACTGTTACTTAACAAATTTGTATTTACCTGTGAAAAGTCAGATTCTATATTCTTTTAGAACCTGATTTACTACATTTAAATTTCTGAAGTTCTTTAAAAAAAAGGTTAACGCAATTGCCTTGTCTCCCCTTAATTACACAGCAGGCCCTTCGGGTCGGGGCCCATCGGCCCTTTTGGGTCTCCTGAGTTTGCATCTGCATCAGTATGTAAGGCAGTGGGTTAGTATGAGCATCTAGTCGATACCTGTAGTAAACTGAACAGCATTGAGCTTCTTCGATAACTGTTGGTATGTCCAAATGGTTGTGTATTTCGGAGTTGCGAGCGTACTAGAGAGCAGCAAAGAATACCCAGAGAATGTCATTTTGGGTTCTTTGGAGGAAAAGTAAATTTGTTTTGCTGGCTGTTGACCTCAGTTGTATCCCGTAATTCCGGAACGATTTTATTACAATGCAGTACTTATTTTTTAGAGATAAGGTTGATTGTCTTCCAAGAAGCCAGAGGAGATTTCTAAATCTAGAGTGGTTCTCAGTGCTTTTGTTTTTTAAATGTATATTCATTCTATGTCATCCTACGATTCAAATGGAATCCCAATTATTTGACACAAGAGACCTGTGGTAGAGTGCCAGGGCCTAAGTTGACCGAGGGGCAGTTCGCCAAACTGGCACAATGCGGATTTCACACGTTTTCAAAGGATTGTGAACCTTCGTTGACTTGCAAGTTTCATCTCGATGTTTTAGCGACTAGGTCAATGTGTATAGAATTTGATAATTCATGTTCAGCTGATTTTTAATTTAACACTGTCAAGAGGCGGGACATAGATGTAATTGCCTTTCGCATTCATTTATTTCTTCTACTTCAGCAAACAATAGTCCGTGGACCAATCCAAGGAGGCGTGAAGCGTCCACGCAGTCCTTCCCCGACATACGCGCTATACGCTCATCGTATACACCAACCAATGAATCATAAGCCTGTCTATTCTGATCACAGTGAGTATACCACTAATAATATTTAATTTACTTCTAGTAAATTACTTTATATATTGTGCGATGCTGTATGATCTTCAGTGGTCAGAATTTTGTTTTGGAAAGAACATTAGAAAACAACAACATATGAAATACGAGGACAAGATTTTCTCTTCCATTTATGTAAAGGATGCTGCCTATATTTGAAATTGTATTTCTAATACTAGGTGTGCATGTCAAATTTATTGAATGAATATTTAAAATTACACTATGTATGTATCCCTCTTATGTGTGGTTATGTTTAAAGAAAGTGGGTTTTTCTTAATATTGTAAACAATCCTTTTGAAGTTACTATTGAGACCTCTTTTCCTATGATTGTCATTTTAAGTACTAAGTATTCTTGCAAGCTTTTCTGATAAGAGAACATAGAGAAATAGAAGACTCAGTAAATTACCCTTAAAGAAGTTTTTAAAGGAATAACTTAAAAAACAAATGACCTACAGAATGACTTCTGTCGATTATATTATATTGTTTTAATTTCACTATGTGGTTGACATCCTCGATTAACATTAGCCGAGATTGTGGTTAAGTACTTGCCTGTATATTATAAATAACATAAAAGAAGACTTCCATTGTAATTATAATTTTTTATTAATGTGCAAAATTAGCGAATTGTGTATGATGAACAATCTTTTGCAGAGGTAGAAGACGGGCGAATGGGTCGCGGCCCGATGGCCCGCGCCGTGCTATGGAACAGTGAGTTTACCAATAGGCCGGTCATGCTTCTCATTTCTTCATTTGTTTTTGGTTCTGTTGCTCTTTTATACTGAGTGAATTTTATATTCGTATGCCGCGAACAGACCTGTGTTAATCTACATTTCAGTTGCATAGTTATTTTTATGAATTTGGTTATAATAGCGCGTTTGGGTCCCCTTAAATTGCTGCAGGGACGTAAAACGAGTAATGTAACAAACTATTTTGTACACGATTAGGTTACATTTCTTTAAACAAATAAAGAAAAAGAAGCTGTGCGCGCCGCGCTTACTTTACAAAATGCAACTTTATAGAATAGTCATATTCTCTAGTAAATAAAACACTCTCGTTATTTTTCTATGAAAGAAATTTATGCTTTATTTTGTAGAAAACATGTTTTTTTTATGATACCAAGTGATGGGACGAACAAGTCGTGCGCCTGACCACAACAGTTCCAGTGCCGCTCAGAGCTTTAAATCGCAAAGACCAGAGGGGCACTGCCGCTGCGCCCATCACCTGTGCGCGGGGCGCATTCATTATTCATTCATTCACTCTTTCATTTTATTCTTTGTTTAAAGAAATGTAACCTTATATTGCAGCACGTTGAGGTTATATTGCATTGCTCGTTTTAATGCATTTTCACGTCGTCTGGCTACGGCAATATAAGGCGACCCTACAGCATGATTACATCTATACGACCAAAACGTCGGTGACACATCACAGACGTCTGATACGTCCGAATGAATAAGTGGTCCAGGAAAGACGTGTGAAAACTAAATGAATTATAATTAATTAATTATAGTACTAAACTCTTTTGTCATTAGGACTCAATTTTCATAGTTTTGAAAGATATATGGTGGAAACAGTAAAAGTTCACTCTGTATTACATCCTTTCCGTAACGTGCTGTGATTCGTAACTTGTGATGTATTTTCATCCTCCTTCATCTTTAATATAAACTGCATGAAATGTCTCGTAGTATACCTGGTAGTGTACTTTCCTTTCCATCTATTTAGTTTTTTTAGTTCTAAGCTGTTGGTCTAATATTTATCAAAGCAGGGTAGTAAAAAGTTTTTCAGATCGGTTGCTGAAGCAAAGCTCGTCTCCGCTCTGCTTTGATAATGAGCTTTAGCGAGTATTCTATGCGGTTAGTAACAAAGTTCCTATATATCTTCAACACTATGAAGGCACGGACTTCACAAAGCTGGTTTCGCCATGGTTGCGGCTCCATGAAGAGACGAGCAGTAGTACGCGTGACTTATGGAATTGGATTTTGTCGTTTTGCCATAAAGAAAATACAATACTTTATTTATTTATAATAAATAAACTGCCTCCGTGGCCACGAAGAGGTTCCAGGTTCGATTCCCGGGCCGGGATAAATATTTGTATGGCCTACAATTATTTCTCTCGTGAGTTCGGGTGTAATTTGTGGTTGTCTATGTGTGTGTCCATGGTACCCGCGACACAGGGCTTCCCTAGTGCGGGGCTATGTTGAGTGTGTGCGTTAAAAAAAAAAAATTTAAACTTTATTGATATTCTTTATCAGTCAACCGGAGAGCTGGACTCTTCGCTGGATAATTAGTAAGCGGTGCATAAATAACATGACAAGTTAAGATTAAAAACATAAAAGATCAACGTTTATAAGTAATTATGATATATAATTTACTGGAGCCAGTGTAGAACTGGCTTCATGACGTCCGGGCCTATGTTTTACTTTAACGCTCGCTTTAACTAATGTAAGGTAGTCATCACCTCATCTATACTATTACAAACAAACATTAACAAACTTATTTCTTTTTAATTTGAATTAAATATAAGTAATTAACTACATAAATAAAAATTATAACTTTTTCGCAGAACCGTCGCAATACGGATCAAGTGTAGGCGCATCATCGGTGTCATCACCGGCATATTACGCCATGCCCACTAGTGGAGTAGTGGGCGTAGTGGGAGAACGTCCTCCACCACTGCTGTACGCTCACCACGCGCACACCCCGCACACCCCTCACACTCCTCATCATAACCTGATGTATGCTCCGGCGCCACAGCCGCAGCTGTATTTGGACATGCTGAAGAATAGGGATGGACAACAGCATCAGGAGTCGAAGAAAGAACCTCAGGTACAAGTCCACTAGAAATAGAATCCACTCTGATTTTCAACTATAAATTAAAATATACTAAGTTTCGATAATTGTTATAATGGCTATTTTATAATGGTTATTACATAAGGTGAAATAAAAAGGTGGAGCCAACCTTGAGCTGGTGATCACACTCATGGTAACAGTTTTAGCAAAATTATTTAATGATTTTTTATTCCATTTACAAAATGTGCGCGGAAACCAATTTTTTTTAAATCACAAATAATTTTTTTCTTCTTATGTTGTATGATCACCAGCTGAAGTTTGCCTGAATCTTTAATTATTCACATAATAAAGGTTCCAATCATTAAAAAATCTACTAGTACTGTACCACTTTGTAATTCTTGTATCGCTACGTTGAGAATTCTTTATCGACCATAGAGCTTTGCTCTTCTTATCATCTCATGTATTAAGTTGTGCCGTAGTCACCAAATTTCTCTTAACGCTAAGCATAGAAGGTAATTGTGTAGTTGTACGGCATATTTGTTCTTTGTTATTATAAATAACACGACGACCATGTGAGGCTGATGAATTCAGAGACATATCGACTGTGTACTGGCAATCGGTACTATCTAAATTTTGACAAGTTTACACTATGAAGAAAAAAATTTATTGCGTCATTTATGTAGCATTTATATAATAGCAGTATTTTTATTTAATAAACCAGATGCTATATAAATGACGCAAACAATTTTTTTCTACATCGTGTAAAGTTGTCAAAATTGAGATAGTACCGGTTGCCAGTTCACAGTCGATATGCCAATATTCATAGTCGTTTTTGGGCATTTTCAAGGCGAGAGTGTTTAGGCATTATTTACGTATGCATATGCTCCATCGACCTCATCGTCACTTTCAATTAGGTGAGATGGAGGTCAAATGCGCTCTTACATTTAATAAAAAAAAAAAAATAAGACTATTCTGTTGTGGGAATATGAAGACTGATAATAAATTTTGTATAAAAAAAACTGACCTCAAAAGTTCATGGAATCACATCTATTTGCCACTACTGAGGTGCTCTTTCCAACAAAAAAAGAATAATGAAAGTCGGTTCAGAAATGCCGGGAGTTATCGCGTAACATACATACAAAAAAAAAACAGTCGAATTGCGAACCTCCTGCTTTTTTGAAGCCGGTTAAAAAATAATGTTAATTTTCATTGTAGCCACAAGTGCTGATCGGGTTAAGCGAGCCTCACCATCCATCGGTGAGTAGCGGAGTGGTGTACGCGCAGCCGCCTGTCTCTCGACACATCGCCATACACACGCAGCACCCCAATATACAGGTACATTAAGAACCTAACCACGGTATTATATCTTCCCTACAGTAGTGCAACGCCTTTGATGATCGGCGATACCGCTGCCGAAAAAAACCGTAATAGGTTCTTTGAAAATTAGTATAACGTAATCATTTATTAGCAACATCGAGTATATAACCAGAAATAGAGACGAAATGTCATTTAATTTGTTTCAAAACTATTCTGCCATATCATTACGGTGACAACTGCGCTCCGATTGGTCAGCCCGTATTGGAAACAATTGACGGAAGTCGTCAATTGTTTCAATTCAAATCGACTAGTTTCACTTGAGCTTTGATATAATGGACGAAAATTGAAAAATTACATATTTAATATTTAATTACCGATGAAATGTGATTCCGTTTGTTTTGTAATTAGATGTTTTGCTATCTTTCCTACACCACCGATTGGAATAGCCCCCCCCATAGCTAGAGATATTATCTTTATTACAATAAATACAGAATATTTTTGGAATATACCGAGACGTACACAAAGGTCAGTTGTTAGCGCTGTACTATTTCAACTTTCTAATTTGTGATTTCAGTGCAAACGAGAGTTGATATTTAAAAGTGATATAAGGCCCAATTGCCTGATGAGTTGCCAGACATGGATGACCCTTATTTCGTGTCTATTTCTGCTTATGTTCTCATTGATTAGCAATAATTATTACTTTTCAACAGCAATAAATCAAGAGGACTGCTAATGTTCAAACTGCAGATCGTAATTCTGAAAAAGGTTAAAATCCCGTTGTATGTCTAGGTGGCGCTGTTCGATAGCCTGGAGGTAGTTTATATTATTTAAATTGTCGTGGTATCAATTAATTCCTTTTGAATATAAAATACAAGTAGTCAGTTTCTTTTTCTTTGTAACATGATGTAAATATTGACCATGAGCTAATTAATAATTTTACAAAAATATGCTTATCAATATATGACGTCATTGTTAGTTCCAAAATAATTTATGAGTTACCGCTTGCTAATATGGGTAAATAAGTGGTGAAATAAGCGCCATCTAGTTGATTTGTTTATTGTCAGTAGAAATTAGAGCAGCTTTGATAAATTTAGCTTGTCAATGGAAAACAAACAAATTGCTATATCGATGCCTTACTTTCTCAAGCTCGTATCTTATAGAGTGATTATTCAGGAGGTGGCAAAACTTTCTTTTTATTTTAAATTTACGCTACATATGTTTTACAATTACTTTATTTTAGCAATATGAATTTTTTATTACATTACATTTATTATTAATTAATAATGGAAATTAGATTTTCATTTTTTTTTGTTTTGTAAGATAACACCTACAGACTAAATATTCTACGAACAAAATTTGTCAATAACGTTTTATGCTTTGAATACGAGAGAAATAAATATAGGCCATACAAATATTTCCGGCCCGGGACTCGAACTTGGGACCTCTACGTGGCAGTCCAGCATGGTAACCGTTCTGCCACAGAGGCAGTTTCAAAGTCCATTTTTTTTTTATTTACAGTCAAAACCCGGCAGCATCACACAAGGTTACCCTGTCCAGCAGTCGAACCCGAACGTGCAGAACCCGAACATATATCCGAACAGACACCGATATTAGCTAGTAATCATACGCCGCCACCCGGCCAAGCCACCGTGACTACCGCTTCGGTAATGCTTTAAGCACATTTGAGATACAACTTCCTGGGAGACTGGAATAACGTCCAAATTCATTTAACGGTATATTTTTATTACTCAATAATTGTCGATTTGTGAACACAGTCGATTCTATAACATCCGCACGCGGGTTTTATCCTAATCAAACAACCTATCCCGTGTTCTAGTCTTTTCGTATCAACTCAATGGAGACATTCCCCGCAAATGGTATCTATCAACAGATGGTGGTGTTGAATTATATAGTACAAAAAACGTTCCTTATATAAATTCAAAATGTCAAAATTCAATACTAGTGTCACATTACCATTCCTGAGTTAACTAATTATTCGACCATTGATACTGCTGGTTACAACACAAAGAGGTGCATATGACATTTTTGAGGCGTGTGTGGCTGTTTCTATTGTTTTCGATATTATTTGACTGAAATAAAATTTGGACTAAAAAAAGTAGAATGTGCTACTATTCATGTGTATACAAGGTTATTTGTAAAATACAACCTCACAGAACTGTATTCCTAACATCATAAATAACAACTTTTGTTTCATGATTTTTATTAATTCTTCAGATTTACTTTCGTTAAAAAAAATTAAGTAGATCCCTAAACAGTGACAACTCTGTGCAGTAACAAAAGAAAGCCCTAGCGTAAATACCAGTCCGATGCAAAAACGCAGGAGCGGGATTGGGGGTCATCGTGGACGCTTGCCCGTTTCAATTTACTACCTTACTACCCAATACAGACCTGAAAAGTCTCAGAGAGTACAAAAATAACTTAAAAGTTTATTTTTGGTATATTCATAATAATACTACTATAGAATAATACTGATAGAATAACCAGGCTGAATTGGCAGTGGGCTGGCCATATCTGTCGCAGAAACGATAACCGATGGGGGAAGCGAGTTCTTGAGTAGAGACCATGGCTCGGCAAACGTAGTGTAGGACGCCCTATGTCCAGATGGAGTGACGATTTGCGAAGGGCTACTGGCAGCAGATGAGGACCGGGCGAAATGGCGCGCATTGGGATAGGCCTATGTCTAGCAGTGGACTGCGATAGGCTGATGTTGGTATTTATAATGTTTTGTAGAAAGTTATGGAACAAAAGCTGTTGTTTATAGTCTTTTACAAATAACCCTGTAGATTTTTTAACGTCTTATCGTATCGATGGCATACACATCGGCATAAGATACTTACCGATTGTTGCCTAGGGTGCGCCAGACGTACAAAAAAGGAAGGCTCCTTTCGTGCACTCCAAATATTACTGATAGATGAAGCCTTTTTAAATTAACAAACTGGAAAAAAGGCGATTGGAAACTTTTTCTCAGTCTTCTAGAAAATTCCCGAAGCTATAAATCCCCACAAATTTTAATAATTTTACTGTACTAATTGGCAAGTCTCCGCACCTAATTATAGTGCCAACTAATCTATAATTAAGTGTGGAGAGTAACAAACTTAGCAGATTGGAATAAGCCTAATGTGAACGGGTATAAGTTAGTGTGCCTAAAGCATAGACAGGAACAAAAAACCGGGTTTGGTTGTGCAGTGAACAGACTTTATGTTAATGTGCTTAGTTTAAAAAAGGGACAATATGTAAAGAGATATATTATTTTTAAGAAAAACAATAGTGCGTAGAAACAAAATACTGAATTTGATATATGTTTGTTTGCCGTACACTGCATTTGACTCTTAAACTCAAGGTTTATGTTAGCTGGACAGGTATTCTCCTTGGGATTCTAAGGCACGGTTTCGGGCCGAGCTTATATCGAAATGATGTTATCCCAAGTGAGGTTCACCTCTAAATCTTAAAGTAATTTTAATTCTTTCTAAAATATTGTTCACACTACATAGAAGCCATTTATAACATTTATAATCTACTTAAAGGTGAAATCTCATTAGCGCGAGCCGATGCTCGCCACGATGACGTCTCATTTCTTCATAATTACAAAATTGTTATCTAAGGCGGACATTTAAGAAATGGAACTTTTACTTGAACTTTTTTGTTCGTTTTGTAAATACGAAGAACTTAATAAGCTTATCTTTGCTTAGTTGAAGCCAAAGTTCGTTTTATAGATCTTAGAAACTGCTGATTATGTCACGAGTAGGGCTAGAACGACCTATTGCGACTTACGCGAAAGCGACATAGAAGCGGGAGATATTATTCTGTACGCGAGAATAGGAGTATTTCGCGCTTAATGTCGCTCACGCGTAAGTCACGCCCTGTCGTGCTATCCCTACAGCATCGTCAAAATGTCAATGAGAATACCAAGAGTACTACAATGCGATGCGAACAATACGGACTAATGCATATTCACCTAGCAGCGGATTTTTCGCTTAATCTAAGGTATATTATTATATAAAAAATGCTTGTCTTTCCTGTTTTGTGATGGTAATGTAGAGGAAATAAATTATTATAAACGTATGTATATATTACTTCTTTTTTATTTTTTACCTTCCTAGCGGACGGCAAAAAGAGTTAATGTTTTTCATTATATGCTTTCAAGTTTATAGATTTTGCATACATATTTTCCTTACTGCATTGCACATTAAAATCTACTGCCTCAGTGACCGAATGCTTACCACGCTGAGGTCCCGGGTTCGATTCCCGGGCCAGGAGAAATGTTTATAGGGCCAATATTTATTTCTCTCGTGAGTTTGGGTGTAATTTGTGGTTGAATAGAATAGACTGTAGTATTTGAATGTTTATAAATAGATAATTGAATGACTACCACATGCATTTATTAAAATAAATAGTTGTGGACTATTTTGCCGTTTAAATCCGATGCTCTTCTAGCATGCTGTGTTACTAATAGTGCTTCCAGATTGCTAGATTTTTGCGATCGTTATTGTCGCTCGATATTTTGCTCAAAAAGAGCCGCTGTCGACCAGGTTTGCTCGATTTTATCGATCGTTACTGTCGCCTGTTAGCGATCGGTAAACATCACGGTAAAAATCAAATAAATTTGTAGTCGCGCCTAAACCTAATTTAAATTACACACTGTCGATTGGCAAAAAATGCGCTGTTGGTCGTCAGTTGGTAGATTTGTCTGACCACATGTCTTGATCGACAAAAAATACGATGTCAATCGTGTGTTGCTTACCTACACATTTACTTATTTTATTCATACACGTGTCGATCGTCAAAAAATCGAACAAATCTACAGGCACTTACATAAAGAATGGTTATGTTCGACCTCCTACCCTGTATAAATAAACCCAAAATACTTTGCCTTTTCTTGGCCCTGTATTATTCAGTCCGAGCTTTCTTTCATCTCTTCTGTTATGTGTGTTGTACACAATGATCTTATATACTCATACGTCGTACACATGTCGTACAGTATTTTTTTCGCTTGAAATGAAACATGTTCTAAGTATGAAACTGACAAAGGAAATTCTTTTTAATGATAAAATTAAGAGCAAAGAATATGATCAAGACCAAAGATAATAAAAATTATTACGTACGTACGAGGAAGGGGGTGTTAGATTCCATCTTCTGACAACATGACATAGTTGAATTTTTGCTTAAAAATTCTGTCTACAGAAAAATTATTGCAAAATACAGCTTAGGTAAGTGATTTTCCAGTTCTTATATATCTACTATTTTAAGTAATCATTTGTGTAGGGAATTAGAAGGCATATTTTCATTGGCTCCATAATTTATAGGGATTCAATTTGCGTAAACGTCATGAATTATGTTCCCAGTGCACCTCCTTACTCCTTGCTCACGTTATCTTGAATGAAACCAAGCGGGCGAAAGGGGGTGCCGGCACTCTGTTGTCTGTGGGGTGAGAGTTAGGGTGACTACGAAACGCAATTAGACTATTACGGTTTGGGGGAAAAGGGTGATTTTCTCAAGATACAAATTGTCGTGTGGTTTGTTCTCCATTAAGAATTCGCTCGATAATCCACTAAGGAATAAATCCATTAGGCGGACAGGTGCGTCTCTGTGTATAATAATATATTATATAGTTTGCAGGGTCATTGCTATCCAACCTATGTGTCGCTTTTGCCGTAAATCCAATCTTTGGCGTTACCCTACCTCAAAACTTCAAACTCTTTTCCGAAGATTTCTATAGTAATGATCAGGAGAAGTGCCATATTAGTGATATTATGGTTATCTAAGCATATATACTAAGTCTTTCATCCTGGCAATTTCGGTCCCGACAATTTCGGGGGTCTGGAAGATTTTTTGCCATTTTCGAAACTCGGGATCGGGACAGATGTTTTCATTCTCGCCTTGGAAATAACAAGACTTTTGAGACAACTAAACAGTGTTAAAAATCTACTAAACCAACCAGTGACCTTTTGATGAAAGCAACGGTATTTCTTATTCTGGTTACACAAACATGGCAAACATTGTAGATTGAAGCTTATTATAATCTGTGGAAATTGAAGAATGCTAGTAAACTTCTTGTTTCTTACTCACTGAAAAAAAATGAAAAAGGAAAAACTAACGCATTTTATTTATTTTATAATTTTATAATTTGAGTTAACATAAAACTTGATTTAAATATCATGTTTTGACTGCTTAAACTCAGAAATAATCTCGAAAGTGTCGATTTTCCCGCGGTTTTTGAGACTGAGTCTTTATTTTTTGTCGGGACGCGGAGATGCAGAGACTGAAAGCCCTAATACATACCAATAAAGTCCACGTTTCAAACTGAATCGCTTGGTTACCATTACGTGGGTGGAGGTGCATTATCGGTTTGACCTGCAAGTAGGTCGCGTGCACCTACGATCGATGCACTCAAACATCTTTGTTTTCTTGTTTATAAACGGTCGCAACTTTTAGTTTTCTTTTCTTATTACGCCTTTCTACACTTATAAGGCATTCACCAGGTGTTTTATCTTTTCCTCAAGAGCTGATTGTTTTATGTCGAGTTAGGTGGTCTGCAATTTGTTTGCTCTTACTGTACAATTAGTTGTACGTACAGGAAATTAAGGAACGTAGTTATTGTTATACAGTTTTATTATGTCGCTGGAGTTGTGTTCTGAAAGTAAAATTATTTTTTGATATTTAAGTACGATGGCGTTTGCACGAAGGTACTAAAGTATGTACTTAGGTTGCTGATATAATTTATCCTATATTATGTGATTTAAATATATAGGTATGTGCATTGAACAAGGTTCATTTCCCAAAAAAAAAAAAAATAAACAAAACACATCGAATGTGCAGTGCATCAAGTGAGCAGAATACAGGACCTGCGGTAATTTTAGACAATGCGTTGTTAAAACACAAAAGCTTTTACAACGCTATAGGACACGTGTCTCCTTTTTTTTTAAAGGGCTTTTCTCCAACAAGTTTCCTTAGATGTGTACCATCTCTGTAGTACGCGATAATTTAGTACTTTAGAATGTACTTTTCCAAATAGAGTCAGTCACACGAGAAATTTTGAACTAGGAAATGTTCTATAATTTTGTTGCTTATACTATTATAGTTAGACACATACATATTTTAATCTGAAACCTTACATCACATCGCGGTAAACAAGACACGGTACAAGATTAGTTAACGTTGTAGCTATTCGAGGCCATGTTTCCAGACTAATTTTCCGGATACTAAAACCATATATTCGCAAGCTGGAGTCGCGCCAGGCGCCTGGCATTAAAGTAGTAATATGTACCAATTATAATACACTAGGCGCATTTACTGTCGACATAGTATATAAAATAGGTATGTAACTCGCGTATTTCGTAATTTCCAGCTGTGGGAGTTGTCTATATACACTTACATTACCTATACATAATACAAAAAGAACTTTTGTTTTCGCGTGCTAATCGCAATTGCAAGATTCAAATTATATCTTCACCCTTAGTGTAAATAAGGCTACATCTGCAAAAACTTTTCAAGAGAAAAGGTTTCTTCTAACGAAATTAGTCGATACCTTTTTGATGCTTAAGAATATATACTACCTTAAATGGCTTTGGTTCATTCCGCGTAATAGTCAAAATGTTGAATCAAACACTGGAAAAAA